GGGGGAGCAGGAGGGGCTTCAGCATGGCTTCCAAGATAGCCGCCTTTAGAATAGCGGTGCAAAATGGCTGCCAAGGACAGAGGGGCCAAGAGGGCTGCAGGGCTGATTGGAGTAGGGACCAAGATGGCTGCTGACCCCACCACAGCTCTAGGTTGCCCAAGGAATGTAAGATGGCAGGTCAAGATGGCCGCCAGCCCCTTCTGCAGGCAGCGGGATTCAAGATGGCGGGCCAAGATGGCCGCCAGCCCCTTCTACAGGCACCGGGATTCAAGATGGCGAGCCAAGATGGCTGCCAGCCCCTTCTACAGGCAACGTGATTCAAGATGGCGGGTCAAGATGGCCGCCAGCCCCTTCTACAGGCAGCGGGATTCAAGACGGCGGGCCAAGATGGCCGCCAGCCCCTTCTACAGGCAACGGGATTCAAGATGGCGAGCCAAGATGGCTGCCAGCCCCTTCTACAGGCAGCAGGATTCAAGATGGCCACCAGGTTGTCTTGGCAACAGCATAAGTCAAGATGGCCACCAGGCCTGGTTACCATTGCGTACCATTACCGCCATCTTGTGCTGTGGGTGTGGCAGCGGCAGCCATCTTGGCCGGCTCAGCCAACAGCAGCCTTGCTCTGCCATCACATTGGCGGCCATCTTGGCCTTCAATTACACAATGGCGGCCATCTTGGCCTGCTCAGCCAATGGCAGCCTTGCTCTGCCACGGTATTGGTGGCCATCTTGGCCCTTATCTACACAGTCAGCGGTGGCCATCTTGATCGCAACTGACACTCAGCAGCAGCCACTGCACTGCCTCGTCTGGTGGCCATCTTGCCCTTGAGTTACACAACCAATGGCAGCCATCTTGATCTCAACCAACGCGCGACAGCAGCCACCATGTTCCTTAGGATGGCGGCCATCTTGCTCGCGATCTACACTCCCAATGGCAGCCATCTTGGCAGGCTGGTGGCCATCTTGAACCCGCCAACACTCAACAGCAGCCGCCATGATACGTACAGAACCCATGGCAGCCATTATGATACCAATCAGCACAGCAGCCATCGTGCTCTTGACCTATACAACCAATGGCAGCCATCTCGGTGGGCCGGCAGCCATCTTAAACCCAACCAATGCTCAACAGCAGCCACCTTGCCGCGTGGCACAGCAGCCATCTTACTCTTGACCTATAGAACTGATAGCAGCCATCCTGGCAGCCATCTTGATCCCAACCACTGCTCAACAACAGCCACCCTGTTGCAGGGCAGCCATCTTGCTCCTTAGCCACACAACCAACAGCGGCCATCTTGCTTGCGATCTATACAACCGATGGCAGCCATCTTGATCCCAACCACTGCTCAACAACAGCCACCCTGTTGCAGGGCAGCCATCTTGCTCCTTATCCACGCAACCAACAGCAGCCATCTTGACAGGCAGCCTGGCGGCCATCTTGGCCTCCCCCTACATCACCCAACCTACCTACAAAACCCCCAAAAAACCACCTAAAAAACCCCTACCCAGCCGCCACCAAAGCGAGCCCCAAATCGGCATTCCTATGCAAAGGACAGGCAAATCTGGGGGCAAAACGTGGGCATTTGGGGGGAGAGGGGAGGGAGGAGAGAAGCCAAGGCCCTACTGCACAGTTTAATATATATATAATATAAAAAATATCTATGTACATTTATTATTCTTATATTAGGAGCATCTGGAGGGTCGGGGAGGGGGGGGATTAGACCCGACTCAAGGGG